TGTGTGTGAAACAGTTAAATTTGAAATAGTTGTTTAAGTTTAAATCAATTGCAATGGTTATTAAGTTTGAACGGTGATGCTAAGAACCCCCAGTGATTAGGCATCCCCAGTGACTGGGCATCCCCAACACCACTAGTGCCACATGACACACTGCCAGTGGCTGAAGTCCAAAAAAAAAAAAATTCAGCTAATGACCCAGCACCCCCCAGTGCCACATGGCACACTGCTAGTGGCTGAAGTCCAAAAAAAAAAAAAAATTACAGCCAATCAGTAAGGACCCCAGCACCCCACTGGGGTCCAATGCATTTTCCAAGCTTGAAATAGTTAAATTTGCTTAAAAATTATTTCAAGTTTAAAAAAAAAAGTAATAAAGCTTTGAAAAATAAGTGTTTTATTTATATCAAAATTGTTAAATTACATTTTATCCTAATATATGACCAAATATGTAGTTAAGAGTCAAAATGAAAAAGATGATAAAATATAAAAGGAATAAAGTGTAATTTATCTTAAAATTATTTTGAAAAGTTAATTAAAAATTGACTTTTTAATTTTTTTCTAACTTTTTTTTTCTTGAAAAACGTATAAAAAAAATAAAGAAATGATATTACTCAAAATAGATTAAAAATTAAATTGACTTTTAATTAAGATTTCAAAACATCCCTTAGTATATATATATATATATATATAATTTCACATTATTATAATACAGTTAATGTTTGCTATATGTTGTTAGGACTCTCGTGGAAAATGATTTTATTTCCAAAACGATTACTGGAGTTGAAAACAAAGCACCTATACTTTGTTAAGATCGTGAATGAACTTGTTGAACATACTTCCCCTTATGACTATAAAGCGTAGGGCTGGGTAAAGAATTCGTAAAATTTGTAATTCGATTAAGTTCAGTCTAATTTGATAGATTTGGATTGATTTTTTGAATTTGTAGTTCAGTTTCGGATTGAAGAATAAGTGTTTCGGATTGAATCTCACGGTTCTGGTTTGGAACCGATTCGAACCGTATACAAATAGTCTACATTTTTATTATACATCTTCCCTCATAGTATCTTCTTTTATTCTATATAAAACATAAACTCAAACCTAAACCCATATAATATCTTCTTTTATTACTTTTGTTTGTTAGTTTTTAATTTTAATTTATAATGGTCTAAATTCTTATGATAAAATCAGTTTTCTTATAGTCGTTTAAATTTTAAAATAGTATATCGCTATTATAAAAAAACATATTACTATTGTGGAATTAATATAATACTATATTTATGTTTTTATAAAATTAAAGTGTTATATATATATATATATATTTATTATTCAATTATGTGAATCTGTGATCCTAAACCGATCCAATTCGTATTTAAATGAATTAGTTCAGATTAGTTTTATGATTTAAACGGATTGAATTGATTTCAATGTTTTAAGAACTGTAAATAATAGATTGATTCTTATTTTACCTTAATTTAATTCAATCCAGACCATGCTCATCTCTAATAAAGCGACTGGAAGTGAACCCACGTCACGCTATGAGATTGATGCCACGTTTGACTTCAATGTAGTTTCCAATCAGAATCGTGATGTCATGCTTCGCATCATTTTTAGTTAGAGCCACTGGGACACCAGCCAAGATAACCAAAAGAAGAAGAGGTAAGGATCCTCTAGAGTTTCTTTTTTTTAAAGTTTTTAAGAGTGATATATTGTGTGGTTGAAATTTAATAATAAGTTATATTAATTTTTTAATATTAAATTTCAACGACACAATACACCACTTTAAAAAATTTTTAAAAAAAAATACTCTAAAAAATTCTTGGGGGGAAAGAAGACAGGTATTCCTTGGTTCAAAATCTATTGTCCATTAGTAAAACTGACTCAAAACTATTCTATATATATATTTATATTGAATTTTAATAAATAAAATATAGGTTTTGTTTAAAAAAAGTAGTTTAGATAAAAAATAAATAAAAATATTAAAATTTAAATTGACAAAATTAAAATTTTAATTTATTACAATGGTTAAATTTTGAAATTTTGTTATTATAGTTTTATTGAATTGAGGATGTTGTTGTGCATAAAACAATTGTTGCGAGCTAGGGGTGGGCACGGGTTGGTTGAGGTTACGGAACCTTCAATTCGTCATCCGTCCGCCAATCCAGCAGATGTGTATTGAGTGGATTGATGGATTGGTGGATGGATGCGAATCGGTTTGGCGTTTTATAAATTTTCAACGTAATTCAACTTGTACACTTCCTAAAACAAAAAAGTATTACAATTAATGATTTAAAAAAAATATTACAATCACTGCATGCCTCATCCAAAGAAAAAAAGTTTGAAACTTTAGAATATTACAATCATTGCATGCCGCATTCACATATTACAATCACAACATGTCTCATACACATAAAGTATTACAATCTATGATTCTTAAAATATAAAAACAATTCAAATCACTAGAATTATGAGCATAGTATCAGGAGAGATTGTATGTCTCTGTATAGTTACATCTATATCTATTTTTGAAAATAAAAACCAACCAGCATATATCATATATCATATTTTTTATTTTTTTATTTTTAGAGTTAGATTTAAAAATAAAAAATATAGATAAATAATAATTTTCTTCAATTCAAAAAATATATTCAAGCTGAAAACTCTTTTGCAACAGACTATATTCAACAAAATATTTAAATTCTTTTTCAATTGAAAACACAAATAGAATACCAAAACAAATTAAAAACACAGTTTTACAAATTATTTGGGGTGCTCGTGATGTGACAGTTTGGTTGCGGCCAAACAAACTTCGAATCTGTCATCCGTCTAAAACTAGACGAATTGGAAAAAAATTAATTCGTAACCGTCCACTCATCATCACGCATCCGTCCAAAATGCGATGGATTAGTTCGGTTTGATCGATTTGGACGAATCAATATATCCACTGCTCATCCCTACTCCGAGCTAATGTGATATCTTTTACTATTTTTGGTTTTTATTTTTTATTTTTTATAATATCATTATGTCTTTTCTCTAAGCTCCGCATGGCAAATAGAAACAAGAGTTTGGCATTATATTATTTGGATAATTAGCAGATCATGAGGTGGTGAGATTGTTGAATTCATGTGACAGACGATCAAGATTCCTACAAAAGCAACCAAATGGAGAAAAGAAAGATAGGTGATCACTGCTTGTTTCTTTCCTTTGCTCTAAAATTTTTTTAATCAACACTGCTACAGACCCCACTGAGGTGGCGCAATGCCATTCGCCAATATTTTTTTTTTTTTTATTCGCCAATTTTTTTTTTTTTTTTTTTCTTTCTTTCCTACCAATCACCCACAGCCACGTGGGTTGGGGGTCGCTGGGGTCGCCCCGTACTGGGAGTCCCCCGCATTTTCCTTTTTTAATACATGTTTCCCAAGGCAATGACCATCTTTGTCAATTATTATTATTATTTTTTTATAATAATTGAGTGTTGAGATTAGTTTGTGCCTAGCTTAATTAATCAATGACTTTTTTAAAAATAATTACATATTAATAAAAAAAAAATTGTATGATTTTAATCATTAAAGCAGGTAAAGGCTATTACGATATATAATTATTTTTCAAAAGTACTATTCACTAGGGGTGTTTGTTTCAGCTTTTCAGAGCCAATTTATAGCTTTTAGCTTTGAAAAAGTTATTTTGGACTGTTTGGTTAAACTTATTTCAAACAGTTTCTGATTCTAACAGCTTATTTTAACTCAAAAAAAGCTGATTTTGAGAAGCTGCTCACCCCTTACTTCTGATTATCACCTTCTGCTGTGAATATATTAATTTATGGTTATACTCTTAAATTTTTTTTATTTTTTATTTTTTTAAAAATAGAAAAAGACTCAAATGGACTATAGATTATTATTATTATTATTTATGAGAAATGTAGACAAACAAAAAATAAAAATTAATTGAAAAAGCTATTTCACTGCTTATTTAATAAACACTACTCAGCAACTTAAATCTATAATCCAACAGTTACACCAAACAAATTAATAACTTCTGATTAAAGTCATAATCTATAATCTGTTAAGCTATAATATATAAACGGTTTTAACAGCTACACCAAACGGGGCCACTGTGTTTGGTTTCAATTTTTTGGAAATTAAGTTTTTTGTTTTCTTTCTTCTTTTTTTTTGTGAATATTTTTAAAATTTTAAGCAATTTTTTTTTTTTACTTTTTTAGATGTACTTTACTAAGATGTATCTAAAAAATAAAATATTTTAAATAATCAATCCATACAGAAGAATACAAAAATGTATTGAATTAACATATTTTTGGTATTTAATGAATTTTTTAAAGATTTTTTTATAAGTATTATTTATGTTAAGCGTATCTAAAAATTTTAAAAATTACTTTAAAAAAAAAACGAAAAACAAAAAAAAAAATAATTTTCTGAATAGTAAATCCTAAAAACCCAAACCAAATAAGCTGATTATTTTTTATTTCCCCTAATATCTATTACATAATTAAAATTTTGGGTAAATTACACTTCCACCCCTAAAATATTATCCCTTTCTCACCTTACTACCTAAAATATATTTTTTCTCACTTTAGTCGTTCACCTATTCATTGTTTCCTAGTTTGGGCCAATTTTTAACGTCTATTAGTAAACTCGATCGTAGCCCGATCCTAGCCCAATCCATGCCCACGGGTAATTCATGAAAATTTGGAAAAACAATTCTAGCCCAAAATTATAAAATACAAAAAATTTACCCCTCCTCCCTCTTCTTCCCCACATTGCTACCTTGGCCACCAGCACCTATTGCACCTCCACAACACAACACAACCTATGGCACCTGCCGCACCTCCACTACTGTAACACCACCTCATGAAAATCAAGTGGTATAATGGAAATCTATATTGGCAAAATATTGAAATTCCGAGATTTTTCTTGCTGCAGGTACACCGATAATAATTGCAACAAAGAATGGTATTGGTGAAATAGTAAGGGATATTCAAACATGACGTGAACTCAGAGGGAAAGAACTTGATGCTTTTGGCAGTAGAAAACAGGCAACTCCATATCTACAAATTGTTGCAAGATGGAAACCAGATAACAAATAATTTGTTCGATTATGTGGATGAAAATGGAAACAGTGTATTGCATCTTGCTGCAATTCTCAGTACTGATAGGCCTTGGCTCGATCCAAGTGTTGTGCTTCAAATGCAATGGGAAATCAAGTGGTACGAGGTACGGAGGCTAGCTTGCTAGTATATTTTATTAAAAACTAATATATATTTGATCAGCTGTCTAATGCTTCAACATGACTGATAATAGTTTTTTTTTTCTAATCCATACTGCAGTTTATTAAGAACTCTGTGCCGAAATATTTGCTGAATTACCAAAACGACAAAGGCAAGACACCGGAAGAAACCTTCAGGCAGGAACACAAAGAGCTCGTGAAAAGCGACACCGAGTGGCCAAACAAAGCCTCAGAGTCATGCACTATCGTTGCAACACTCATGGCAACGGTCGCCTTTGCCACATCGGCTAGCGTGCCTGGCAGCATTAATGGGAAAAACGGAGAACCCATTCTCAAACAACAACGCATGTTTGAGGTGTTTGCAAGCTCATCACTTGCAGCACTCTGCTTTTCACTAACAGCAGTGGTCATGTTTCTCTCGATTCTCACCTCTCGACACCAAATCATGGATTTTGGCACTGACTTGCCTAGAAAGCTCCTAATTGGTTTGAGCGCGCTCTTCATATCCATGGCTTCTATGTTGGTATCATTTTGCGGTGGACATTTCTTTGTTCTCAGAGACGTGCTAAGAGACGCATCGATTGCCAAATATTTAGTTGTATTTCTACCCATTACAATTTTTACCATGGCCCAATTACCACTCTATGCTAAGCTTGTCTTTGGTTCAAAAAGAAGGTACCTGGGAACGACTTAGTGGTTACTAATTAACTAGATTCTGTTTGTCTAACAAATATTCATGTATAAGCCATCTGTATGTGTGTGTTTTCAGTTCTTGTTTCCCAGTTTTCTTCCCTTCAGTTTGATGACCAATAAACATTGAAGTGATTTAAATAATATAATTCCCCATAATTTTGTTTAATATAATTGGCCAGGATGTGTTTTTCTGTTTGTTCATATCTCCATCAAGTACAATGGAAAAAAGTACTAACTACCCTTGTATAGGAATATTTTTAAAACCCGTGCCCTAATCCTAATGGCACACTTTAACATGGCCCTTAAAATTAATCACATATTACTCTGTTTGAAAAATTAAAAATGGATATTGGTGCGTTAAATGAAAAAAAAGTACCAAAAGGTATAAAGAAAATTATGACACTAAAAAGAAAAAGGCAAAAAATGAGATGCTATATATCGTTAGATGTATATTTTCCCACTTGTTTCATGGATTCGCACTATAATTGTCATGTAGAATGAATGCAATATGTACACATGACGTTTGACAAAATTCATAGCGTGACAAACAGCATTTCCTGCACACAAAAAAAGAAGAAGAAGGGTTTTAAATGCTGTAGATTTTATTCAATAAAAGGGTTGGATTGCAATTTCAATGTTACTTCAATAATGGTAAACTTTGCACTGCAGAGAAACAGAGTACTCTGCTTTAATTTGATGCTGTAGGAAGTGTGATAACTTGGACTCTATTTTATTGAGATTTTTTATTTGTCCATACACCTCAGTATGTTGATGCAGATGGAATTTTAATTGGGTGGAACTTTTTGTGTGAAGCATAGCAATTTTGATCAAACAAAATTTCGCCATCATGCTACCAAAATGAAAGGGTGGCTTGAATCCTTAACTTGTTACATTTGATTAGAATGTCTGTTCAAGAATGATTCCGGTAGATATTTGATAGTAAAAGAGAATATTTATTGTGGAGCAAAAACAAGGATAAATTCGTATTCAGAGACATGAGGGCTAAGGTTACATAAGAAGAAGAATAATCTATGATCAAACTATTCCTGGAAATTATTAAGGAAAAATCATACTCACAAATTCAATATTAGATCGGATATATTCAAACTGGGCGTCTACTCCAATCTAGTCCACCTATTTACAAATTCAATATTCAATCTAAAAAGCCTTAGAGGTAAGAAAGGCAAGTTTGGAGGCATGGTTCTCAAAATTGATTTGGAAAAAACCTATGTCGCATTTCCTGGGATTTCATCCACCACTCTCTTAAAGAACTCAATCTCAATCCTGATTGGATCACTCTCATTATGAACTGTGTGTCTAATGTTAATTCTACCATCATCTGGAATGGTGAGGCCTTACCCAGCATTAGTATGTGAAGAGGACTTAGGCAGAGGGATCCTCTATCCCTCTTTATTTGTTTTTTGCATGAAAAATCTGTCCAACATGATTAGAATTAAAACTAAAAATGGTGAATGGAAGGGCCTTCCAGCTTCTAAAAATAGCCCTCCCATTTCCAATTGGTTTTTTGTTGATGACCTTATCTTATTTGTTAGAGCTACTAGAAGAAGTTGTGATTGTATTATAGATGTTCTTTTTGAATTATGTGATATGTCTGGTCAAAAAATTAATTTTCAAAAATCAAAGATGTTCTTTTCTTCAAATGTCCCTAGAAGGAAAGCCACCTCTCTCAGCTTTCATTGTGGCATTTCTCTCACTGCTGATCTGGGTAAATACCTTGGCATTTCTCTCCTCCATAGCAGAGTTTCCAAATCCCAGTTTAAAGACATCCTTGACAAAATGGCCCAAAGACTCTCAGGATAGAAAGCTAAAAACTTGTCCCTTGCTGGTAGAACAACCCTGATTAAGGCTGTCACTTCAACTATGCCTAACCATCTTATGCAAACAATGGAAATCCCTAGGAAAGTTTGTGACCAAATTGATAAACTAAATAGAAATTTCCTTTGGGGTAGTACTGAAGCCAAGAGGAAAGTTCATCTTGCGAACTGGCAGCAGGTCTATAAAAGTAAGAAACATGGGGGTTTAGGTATTAGACAAGCCAAAGTCCAGAACTTTGCCCTTATTTCTAAGTTTGGTTGGAAAATTGCCACTAACTCTAAGCTGTGGTGTGAAGTTCTCAAAACTAAGTACCTCAAAACCTATTCTCTATCCAACTGGCCCACTAGGAGACAAGTCTCACATACTATCAAAAACAGAGATGTCTTAGATAGAAATATTAAATGGGATGTTGGGACTAGGGAGCATGTTTCTCTTTGGGCTGACTGGTGGTGTGGAGAACAACCATTATGCATGGCAATCCAGGGAGTCCACACTGGTGATCTAACCAAAGTCAGTTCCATTCTTAATGATGATGGAAACTGGGACCTCACTTCAATTCACAACCTGCTACCCCAACAGACCATTGATACCATTCTTAGAATCCATAGACCCAGGTATGTGATATATAATGACACACCTCATTGGAAAAGTTCCCCCACTGGTAAGTACTCTACTGCAGCAGCCTATCAAGCCTTATCAAACCAAGAAACAGATGGAGTTAACTGGCAATGGATTTGGAAATTAAAGGCCCCTCATAAACTGAGAACATTTCTCTGGCTTGTCATGCATGAAAGACTTCTAACTAATCATATAAGGCTCATAAGGAATGTGTCAGACACATATATCTACCCCAGATGTCATTCATCCAGAGAAGACATGCACCACTTATCCAGAAGCTGCACAAAAGCTAAGTCAATTTGGTTGAATCTGCAGAATTCTACTTGGTGGCAACACAGCAATAGTGCTACCTTTCAGGAATGGATTAAAACCAATATCCACAGCAAAGACCAAGTCAACAATATTCACTGGTCTATAGTTTTTTTGACAGCCCTATGGATCATCTAGAAAGAAAGAAACAAAGAAGTGTTCAATAATCTTACACAACCTCCTTACACCAGTGTTAACTCCATACTCTAAAAGGCTATGGAAACTCAGGAGGCTTTTCAAGCTATCTTCCACCCAAATTTTAAAGATCCTAAACTAATGCTCTGGTCTTGTCCTATTGCAGGCCAGCTTAAGCTCAACACAGATGGGTGTTCCAAGGGTGATCCTGGCCAATCTGGATTTGGTGGGTTGCTCAAAGATGAAGTAGGTACCTGGGTTTAGGGATATTATGGCTATTTAGGTAACTATACAAGTCTAGAGGCTGAACTTTGGGGCATATATAGAGGTCATACCATAATCATGCAGAAAGAAATGGCCAACATCCAAATCAAAACTGACTCTCAACTGGCTATGGAATTCATTCGAGACGAAGCTGGTGAGAACTCACCATATCGGGCACTCATTGAAGATGCAAACTTCATCCTCAAAAGATGTCAATGCACTATTGCCACAATTCCCAAGGAAGTAAATCATAGTGCAGATGCTATGGCAAATCTAGGAGTGAATCAACAGGAGTACCTCCTTTTTCTAGAAGACCCACCTAGTTCTATTTCCTCTTTGTTAGCTACTGACATGATTAATGTTGGTTCAAGAAGGGATTCTAATATCCCATGACTCTAGACTTGTAATCTGTTTTATCTCTTCAGTTGAATTAAAAAAAAAAAGGTGGTCACAGATCAGATTTGTGCAGTTTGCGGTTCAGTTTTGACCTACCCGAATCTATGTGGTTTGGGAAAAAGTCAACCCGCAACCGCCCGCAGTGTGGTTTGCGATTTGTGTGGATAGGGTTCGATGATGTGCAGGCTGTTTGCAGTTTGGACTTTTTTCTTTAACAATCTATGAAGAATAGATTCAATTAATCAAATAATGTTCTGCAACATATTCAATTTCAATTAACAGTTTCAATTTCAATTAACATATTCAATTTCAATTAATCTAACAATCTAACAGATTCAATTTCAGATTAAATTAAAATTCAATAACAGATTCAATTAATCAAACAATGTTTTGTACAAGTCTATGAAGAACAGCAACAAATTCAATTTTAGATTCAATTAAACATAATCTAAATAGATTATGCCAAAAATTCAATAACAGATTCAATTAATCAAATAAGGATTAATATCATCATCAAACACAGATAACAATAACAAATTCAATTAATCAAACAAGGATTAATATCATCACCAAACACAGATATCAACAACAAATTCAAAGATCAAACAAGGATTTTGTTTATAATCCTTGAAAATTTCAAAGTTGAAGAGACACGATTGACCAACTGCATTAAAAAGAGAAAGGAACAATAGGGACAATAAGATCAACTTCTCAAATACAAAGGTCAAATGAGGCAAAAACAAAATAAAAATCAATCTATACAATTGGATTTACCATTTATCTATTCTTTCTCCAATGAAACATTTTTATGCTTGCCTACAACACTACACGTACATGTGATGTCAACATTCGCCATTTTCTTCTCTTATGCTTCATTGGTGAGATTTAAAAGCTCAACTTTTTTATACTATGTTTGAATTTTAAATTTATCTCAAAACAAAAAAGACAAAACAAAACAAAAAGAATGGAAAAATGGCCCAATAAATAGGATAACTACTTAGGAGGGAGTGAACATAAGTGTAGAGTTTGAATATCATTTTTCTAAATTCAAAAAAAAAAATATTATATTTGATTCCTAGAAGACAACCAACTAGTTGAGACCCAAAAAAAAAAGTTGAATCTCATCTGTAAGTTCTTCCTCTGATGGAGTGTTCTCTCATTTGAATCTGTTGTGCATCTTGCGGGGAGAGAGAGAGAGAGAGAGAGAGAGAGACAAAAACAGAGGGATGCTTAGTTGAGAGTTGCCAGAGGGAGAGAGTCGATCTTGCTAAGGTCGATCAGGTAGAAAGAGAAGAGAGAGTGAGAGAAGATCTTGCGAAGATAGATCTTGCGAAAGTGGATACTGCGAAGGTGGATTAGTCGATCGGTGGATCAGGATCTTGCGAAGTTCTTGCGAAGGTCTTGGTCAATCGATGAGAGTTGCCGGAGAGACAGAGTGGACGTCGATCAGTGAGTGAGAGAAGGTGGAAGAACGAGAGAGATGGAAGGAAAATGAGTAAGAGAAGAAAGCTAGGGATTAGGATTAGGGTTTGGTTTGTTTAGGCAGCGCAACCAAAAATAGGATATAGATCATAGATGAACGGTCCAGGTATTTTCTAAAAATATATTTATATATTCTAAGTGCGGGCGGGTTGTGACGGGTGCAGGTAAAACTCACAACCTGTCCGCAATCTAAATAATTGTTATATTCCAAACCGCACCCAACCCTATTATGTTTGCGAAACCGCCTACAGTGTGAGGGTCGGTTCGGGTATGGTAGTTTGTGTGGGCCGGATAACTCGCTATCCAGCCCTATGAAAAGGTTTTTTTTTTCTTAAAAAAAGGAAACAGTTTGAAACCTGACCAACAATTTAGAAATAGACACCATGATATTACTAGGCCACAGAATTTAATGATAGCATGAATTGTTTGCTGGCTTACAAATTACAACATGTGTAGAGTCAAATGAAGCCCACTGGGGCTACTATATACCAGTTCAAGTCTACAGGCCCATATCGGTGCTTGTCGTGAGAAAATATGGTAACAGTTGCAGTACATACACCCTTTTTTTTTTTTATGGGAAATTATGCAAACTCTTTCTTATTGGACCCTTATTTGGTAAAACAGATAGTCCACTTTATTTTTCTTCATAAATCCTCTAAGAAGAAAACACATAATTAAATAAGGACAAAATAAAATATAATTTTTTTTCTCTTTCTTGGATAATATTACCAGAGTAACGTGTTATTGTCAAATAGACTAATTGTCAAACAGAGTAACGTGTTATTGTCAAATAGACTAATTGTCAAACAGAGTAACATGTTACTATGAGATAAAGTGACATGTTACTATCAAATAGAGTAACATTTTACTGTTACTGTTTACATCAATTTTAACGGTAACATTCTTTTTTTTTTTAAAGAATTTTATAGTCAATATAGATCTTATTTGATAAATCTTGATTAGTGAATTTTAAAAATATTAATTTTATTAAAAATCGATATCTACATCAAAAGTTATATTATTTTAAAGTTTAATATTTTGATAATAGTGATATTTGTTAGACTTTTCAAGGAAAACTTTTTGTGCTTGTCCTTAACACATTAAAATTTTATTATGTGAGGATTTTGACTAAATCTCCCTTTTTTTTATAACATTTTTTTTTACAGTTTACATGCAATGAAAGTGGACCTCACATCATCACATGATATAAAACCTATTTTTATTGTGAGTAAGCAATAAAAAATATTGTAAAAAAATATGCAGTTGTAATATTACCCTCCAAGTAATTTATTTGACATAGTCCATACCTTTCTTTTTATACCTGTCATTCAAAAATAAAAAATAAAATATAACGGTAATATCATCCTATATGGTGTCATAAAAAATTTAAAAAGCATAAAGAAGGTTAGGTAGACAGTTTTGTCGATCACTAATCTAACCCTATTGTGGTGCAAAGTAAAATTTCTAAAATTCAATATTTATTGTAGTGATCGAATCCTAACTTGACCGTGAGAGTGTATTGCTTAAAAGTTTGATATGTGATATTTTCAATGTCATGTTTAACGCGGTTGGTGAACTGTTACAAACAAATAATGGTCTTGCTTACATTTGTCTCGTAAAGAGATTCTCTGTTTTCTTTTTCTCTCTTTGGAATAATTGTGTGAATAATCACTTTTGCTTTTTCTTTTTCTTTTTCTATATATGTTTTTTATTTACGTTTTGTTACTTTGTATCATTTTGTGTTGAAGAAGACATACAAATTTTCTATCGAACTTGGAAAAGAAAAAGAAGTGTAAAGGAAGGCTTGAGTAAGTAAGTGGCTTGCATCCTTTGCTGCACAATTCGATTAAAAAGCTAGCTATCAATTTGTAAATTTTTTTTTATTATTTATAACATTCATATATAATATTATAATGACATTCAATACATTACAATCATAATATTAAAAATCAAATATAATATATAATTGATACAAATAAACTCCCAAAATAAGAAAGAGAAACCCTAATAAATATAATATAGAGAAAAATAATAGAGAACTTACGTGTAGGTCCTAATAAGTGCATATGTCCTATGATAATTAATGACATTTTTTATCAAACACTATTAATTATTAAAGAACATCACTAATTGTTAATTTTCAGTGATATTTTAAAAATTTTGTTACAAAAAAGTCACTAATTATAAGTTTTAACGACAATTTAAAAAAATGGTTACAAAAAAATGTCACTAATTTTCAACTTTTAACGACAACTTGAAATTTTGTCACAGGAAAAAATCACTAATTGTAATTTTTAGCGACAATTTATAAAAACAGTAATAAAAAAAGTCATTAATTGTTAATTTTTGACGACATATTCAAAAAATTGTAACAAAAAATTATTTTTAGTAACGATTTTATTAGAACTTATTTTTAATAGGATTTGATGGAAATTAAATCTAACTATTATGACCTATTAGCAGTTTATCTAAAATATAGTACCATCCATGTGAGGACACATGTCTCTTTGCACTTTCAGAGGTGGATCCCCTTCGGTCTTTAATCCGGACTGGATGGCGTTGTGTAGATCTATGAGGTTCCACTTCAGATCTTTTTTCGATGATCAGAATCATTCATTTTGTCAGACTCTTCATGTATATCAATCACAAACAAAATTAGCTTGATTTAATAATCGTAACCTATTCAATTTATTACGTTTGTTATCAAAAATATATATACATATATATTTAAAAATACAATTGTCTCCTTTTTTTGGTAAAAAACGTAACAATTGAATAGGTTGCGGTCATTAAATCGACCTAATTTTTTTGTGATTAATATGCATGAAGTGTGTAGTAAAATAAACGACTCGAATTATTAAAATAAAGCTTGTGATAGACACTAACGCCCAAGGGCTCCAGGTCCATTAATTTTCTCATTGCCAATTTATTTTATAACATTTTCTAGCAACCGAAATTGATCGATAGTATAAAAGCCAACAAAAACATTAATCTGAAAAAGGGCTTTATTTATTTGCTGCTTAAGAACGTGATGCTAGATCTGCTTTAGAAAAAAGGAAAAAAAGTGAATAATCATCCAATAGCAGCATCGTAACTAAAGACTGGTGACACATTCAATCAATATCATCTACAATTTATGTAATAAATAAAATTTTTAAAATTTATTAATTTATTTTATTTTTTTTAGTAATAAATGTAGTTCTGTCAGATATTGATGGGATTATACGGAATCCATTACAATAATGATTATAAATGTGTTATATTATTATATAATAATATAATGTCATCATTTTAATATTATTATTTTCTTAATATTGTGTTTGGTTAGGAGATTTAAGAAAGGCGTTAGAAAGTGAATGGAAAAATGTATGTGGAATTAGGTAAAATGTACATATATTTTATTCACATTTCACCTATCTTTTTACTTTCTTTTTTAAATTTCTTTCCAAATCTCCCAATCAAATATATCATAAGAATAATGTTAGACATTATGAAAAAATTATCATGAAAAAAACTTCATGAAGGTTCTCCATACTTGAATTACACACAATAAAAAAATCATAAAAATTATGGCCCTCAATCATTGCTGAATGAAAAATTTTCATAAAATATTTCATGATATATTTTTTTTAATACCTAACATTATTCTTACATTAAGAGTAATGCTAAAATTCCAACGTCTTGTTACCAAAATGCGAAGGGTGTTTTTGGTTCCTTTCTTGTATATTACATTTGATAAGTAGAATTAGCTTAGCAACCGTGGGGGAAAATCAAGTTATATTTTGGTCGTTCTATCAAATCGGATGTTTTTTAAGGTATATCATGTATTTTTGTGGTAAATATTACATATATTTATTAGTATAATTATGATAATTTGTGATTTAGAAATTAAATTACGTATTTTTATTCAAATATTTTCTAACCAAATAACTCACTTTTTTTTTTTGATGACTAACCAAATAACTCACTAGGTTAATTATTAATTACAAAAATGTTAGTGTCATATAAATCTGAGATTTTGTATGAATTTTTATAAAAATAATATTCTTTGAATTTTTTTTAAAAATAAATAAAAATTAATTTGACAAAAGTAAACTTCAAAATATATTTTTAAAATTTTAAAAATGAGTTTTACCATGCAAAAAGATTAAACTATATAAAAATGATAAATACTTTTAATTTAAAAAAAAAATCACGAGACTAATTTTAAAATCTTATTTAAAAAAAATTAAAACAAACTCTTTTTGAAAACCAAACCAACCCCTGTATTTCACTTAAGTTTTTGCTTTGGCGAGGAAATGTAACAAGGACTCTTTTGTTTGTTTCTTCTATGGCTATATATAAATTCCCATTTTGCATGCAAACATTCTTATCATCCCAAGCACTACCCACATCTGATTACTGATTCGCAAGCTATATATCTAGCTATATATTTTTCCTTACTGTTCTAGTGATGGAGATGCCTAAAACAGACGAGAAAAAAGAAATAAAGAGCCAATTGTTCAGGCATGCCATGAAAGGTGAATGGAAGGAAGTCGTGGAAATATACGAGAAAAATGCAGAAGTTCACGTGGCCAAGATCACCAAATCAGGAGATACCGCATTGCACCTAGCGGTGTCAGATGGCCAAGTTCAATTTGTTAAACTGCTCGTTGATACAATTTATGACCATGATGGTGGTGGTGGTGAAGGTGAATCAGAAGATCCCAGTGTACAAGTTGAGGAAGGTCTTGGTGGTGAAGGTGAACCAGAAGATCCCAGTGTACAAGTTGAGGAAGGTCTTGGACCAGAGGCTCTCACGATAAAAAATGAGAGAGGGAATACCCCTCTCCATTTGGCAGCAGCATCGGGTAGTTTCGAAATGTGCTATTGGATCGCTATAAAACATCCAAATTTAATTTTTATTCGGAACAAGGAGAAAATGAACCCTTTGTTCTTGGCTGCTCTCAATGGTAAGAAAGATGCTTTCCTCTGTCTTGATAATCTTTGTGGCAAGGAGAATGCTTTGATCAACTGTAGAGGGAGCAACGGCGATACTTTTCTTCATGCTGCCCTCAATGGCGAATACTTTGGTGAGCTATCTATCTGTCTGTCTGTCTGTCTATCTATCTATCTATCTATCTATCTACAAAATGACATCTTGCTCTTCACCTTATTATGATGTTGCATATATAAAACAGTTAAGTCTGCTATTAGATTACGAATTTAAATCATATCTATATACATATTTTTATTATTTTGTGTGCTGATGTACATGTGATGTGATGCGTTGTGCTGGGGACAGATTTGTCATTTCAAATAATTTGCCGATATAGAGAAGCACTTAATCTCTACAATGAGAAAGGATTCACCCCACTTCATGTTCTGGCCACTAAACCTTCCTCCTTCAAAAGTGGAAAGCGACTTGGATTCTTAGAGGGAATCATTTACTACTGTAACTTCTCTCTCTTTTTCTCACTTATAGGAACATCATTTATGAATACGTGATATTACGTTGGACTCAAGTTTACTCCTCTCATACCACTCCACACATCACGTATCAAATGGTTTCTTCAGAAATTCTGATGTTCTTTAATTTATAAATATATACTCTCTCTTTTTTTCTTTTTTAATTAGTGTTGGAATGTTATCAGGACGTGAGAATGTTTTGGAATGTTATGAATTTGGATAAAGATTTGAAAAGGGACAAGAAAAAAGTAACACACACTTTACATATTTCTTTTCCTTTTGTTTTTCAAATATGAATTCATAAACCAAACACATAATTAACTTACACCTACTTAGGCCTCGTTTGGCAAGAGGCTATTTTAGTCAATTAGTCAAAAAGTTACTAAATTAGTCAAAAAAACTAACAACCCATACCAAAAAGTCAAAGATTCTCTTTTCTCTCTACTTTTTGCACATCTTTTCGCAAATGGTTTCTTCAGAAATTCTGATGTTCTTTAATTTATAAATATATACTCTCTCTTTTTTTCTTTTTTAATTAGTGTTGGAATGTTATCAGGACGTGAGAATGTTTTGGTATGTTATGAATTTGGATAAAGATTTGAAAAGGGGCAAGAAAAAAGCAACACACACTTTACATATTTCTTTTCCTTTTATTTTTCAAATATGAATTCATAAACCAAACACATAATTAACTTACACCTCCTTAGTTAGTGACATTTTTAAAAAATGTCATTACTACTAAAATTTAATGGCATCTATTGATAAATGTCACTAAAATAATTTCTTGTGTCATTTTTTTATAAAATGTCATAAAATTGATATGACATTTCTTTATTAAAATGCCACTACAGCCTTGTATATTTGTGGTTATGTGGCATTTTTCTAAAATGTGTCACCAAATATTATTTTTGTCACATTTTCTAAAAACATGTCACTAACATAGTGCCACTAAAGTATGTTTTTGTTGTAGTGAGGGCCACTAGCTAGGCCCAATTAACTCTGAGACTTGTAGATTGTAATAGAATCAGATTGCCACTTTGTAATTTATTACTCTTTTGTTGAGTACATTTTTATCTCTTTATGGACATCAATATTTGCAAGGTACATTTGTTGAGGAGCTCAAGGAGGATAAGCGGGAAAGGGTACCGAAACCCGAATCTCAACTCGAAAAGCAACCCAAACTTCCGGAGAACTACCAAGCGTGTTTCTTCATCTATGGGCTGTACCAGAAGGTGGTCCGTGTAATTCGTGAGTTTTTTATTTATTTTATTTTTCTAATTAATTCTTATATGCAATTATAGTTAAGAGACATGTAAGTGGGAATATTCAAATAGCTGACCTCTTTCTTAGTCAGATACAAAATTATTGTGGCATGTTGTTAGAGTAATCAAAAAAAATTATTTTATTTTTTACAATTGTATCATTTAAGTCTAAGGAATGGAGTATTACTAAGTTTTAAATTCAGCTGCTACTAATTATATATATTGAGACAAAGGTTTGCTTTGTGAAGCCCCCAAAACTTGGTCTTGATGTCATATTAAAATTTTAGTGATATATAACTTAAATTCAATTTGACAATAGGTTGATACCCTTCTAGACTTTACAAATTAAAATCGACCTAAGTTGTCTTTGGATATTGGATTTGACAAAAGATTTGTGAAAATAAAGAAAATATGAAGGGAATATATATATATATATATATATATAAATTAAAATTAAAAAAAAATTAATACTTTTTTTTCCTGTCCCTCTACAATTTGTTAATTTTTAAAGTAATATGATCTTGATTGTATAATGATCAGTTTATAAAGGGGAAGCAACAAATTGATTAACAAGACCCCATATATTTTGTTCACTAATACCAAACTATTTTCTTTTTCAGATACGAAAAAGAATAACAGACAACAACAAACGAAAGGAAAAAGCAAAGGTGAGCAAATCATAAGTCAGGACATTTTTTTTAATGAAATTATGTGATATATTTGCGTCAGTAATAGAAAATCATCAATGTAATTCATAATTGCAAATTATCATATTATCAATCCTATTATTAGTAATAATATTGATGTATCAATGTTATTCAAGAATTTGGTTTGGATAGAAATCCTCTATAACTATAATTATCCACAACATTTTTCATAAAATGTTAAAATTCAGTAACGTAATTATCCAAAAAAATTTTTATAGAATTTATATTCTTGGAACCTATTTGTGGAGATACGTTAAACAAAATCTATATTTACCATAACATTTTAAAAGAAAAAAAAATTTTGATTATGTAGAAAAAAAACTATGAGATTTCTTTGTTGTGAACTAAGAAATTTTGATGTTAGCTGAGAAGTTTCACTATTAACCAAAAAAATTGTCAGTTAAATATATTTCAATTTACGAACAAAAACTGTGAAATTTCACAGTTTCTGCACAGCCACTATGAAATTTCTCAGTTACTCAAAATATCACAATTGTTTTTCTTTTTACATAATTTCACATCCAAGACTGATCTTCTTTGATAAACTCGACAAGTAAATTCCAAAATTATAAATCTTACTAAATATATGTCTCCCCTTGTAAGCAATTGATATATCAATACAATTGCTTTTGTCGATCAAAAAAAAATAAAGTTTGATTGACCCCTTAACTATTTTCTTTTTCAAATACAGGCAGCAATAATACACACCATAAAATAGATCTGGAAAGCCCAGGTAAGTAAATCAGCAATCAAACTCTTACATTTTGTTTTTTTAACTACAGTTTGGAAAACTTTTAAAAACTCCTAATGTATTGTGGTATTTGTCCAACAAAAATACATGACACATTCATTCGACGAGAAGGTAAAATAAATTTTACCCTCTAGTTTGTTTTCTTTAACTATAGCCTAAAGTTGAGAATGTGATAATTTGAACATTTTCAACTACGATTGACAATAATACAAACAAACAAGCCGATACGAAAAACCAAGGTAAGTAGCTATTAGTAAGACTATTACATTTTGTTTTCTTAACTATACACAATATCTTTCATTTTTTAATGCAATCTGACAAACAAATAAACAAAAGTGCAAAAAAAAGACCATCAATTTTTTTTAATGGCTAGAGGTGCTCATTTTTCCTAAATTAATGGATTTGAAAATGTAAATTTCCTAAAGAAATTTGTGTAGAATTATGTTGAAATTGATTGTACACTACAAGTCTACAATTAATGAAATTTAACTCATATGTGATTCGTTGATGGGAAAGATATGAAGGGATGCAAGATAAGAAACTGTCTGGCAGTGGTAAGCCCCAAAATGGATTCCTTGTTCAGCCCTTGTACAGAGAAAGAAGAAGATAACAAAAATGAAAACCCATGTAACATTTTCCCGCCCTTGCTATAATTCATAATTGTAGAATGTTATTGTCAAAACACTACAAGAAAAAGCACCTTCAGCGACTAAATTTTTAGTCGCCAAAAGTCCATTTTTAGTTGCCAAAAGTCGACTTTTTAGTTTTCCCGACTAAATTTTTTAGTCGCCGGCTTTGTCGCGAAAACATGGTCGCCGGAGGTATTGGCGACTAAAACTTTTTTAGTCGGCAAAAAATAGGTCTTTAGCGACCAAAGTTTTGGTCGCCAATAGTAAATTACACTTTAAAATTATATATTTAGCGACTAATCTTTTAGTCGCCAATAGTCAATGAATCGCCGACCAAACCGTTTTGTCACCAAAAGAAACACTTTTGGCGACCAATAATTTTAGTCGCGAAAGGTTATTCCGTGAAAAAAAAATACTAACTTTTCTGAGATTCGAACCACCAACCTTCCACATTCTAAACCTTTCGCAACACACTATTTCCACTATGTCACTACAACACCACATAAATATATATGCAACATATATTATTTATATAGTATATTGACCCGTATTAATATAAAACTATATATATAAACATAATTATTTTTATTCAAATATAATTTATGTAAAAAATAAATTATTTACTAAAAAAAAATTAGACCACTTTTGGCGACTAAATCTATTTTTTAGTCGCCAATTCTATAGTTTTGGCTACTAATTATATTTTAGTCGCTAAAAAAATTCATTCTCCGCCTAAAAATAACCATTTTTGGTGACTAAACTTTTAGTCGCCAAAACCTTCACTTTTGGAGACTAAAGTGAATTTTAGTCGCTAATTGTACACTTTTAGCCGCTAAATTTTTTTTAGTAGCCAAAAACCTTCACTTTTGGCTACAAAATTTATTGTTGTTGGTAAAACACGTATAATCGGCGACCAAACTATTTTTTGGTCGCTAAAACCCATATAATCGGCGACTAAACTGATTTTTAGTCGCCAATAAGTATACATTTGGCTACTAAACTGTTTTAGTCTTTCAGCGACAAAAATTCTATTTTTAGTCGCCAATTCTGCTTTTTCTTGTAGTGAATTATTATTATTATTATTTTTTAACTTACTAAGCATGTATATATATGTTTAATTCGCAGTTCAGGAGCATGACATTTTTCCGCCCAATTACAAATCTTGTTTTGAACCCGTCAAGCTTATGTACAAGGCATTTCTAATCATTCTTGGATGTGGTATATACTATAAACTTCCCACAGCAATCCTCCTTTGGTCTAGTTATGTTTTTTAAAGCATGTTTTTGTGCTCAAATTAAGTGTGTTTTTTTTTTTTTTTTTTTTTTTTTGGGGGGGGGGGGGGGGGTGTTGGGGTTTGTTGTACTAAAGGATCAAGAAATATACAGAAGGTGCTGGATAAAAAAAAGCAACACGTATGGACTGTCCAAATTCTGAATAATCTCCTTCCTCTGTCAATGACACATTGGGATGAAAATAATGGACAAAAACCGCAAGACAATGTTAGCAAATTACAACACCCTGAAGACAACACTGATCCGAGCACACCGGCGCTAGATGGTAATTTTATACTTCTCTAATATCTTCTTGTTAGGTAGTAGTGTTTTGAAGTTGTGGAACAATTATTGGTAGATCAAACAAAGAATGATGATCAACACAAGAATGAGACGCCCATATTAGTTGCGGCAAAGTATGGTATCATAGAAATTGTGAAGAAAGTTCTGGGACAATTTCCAGTGGCCATTCATGACACGAACTCTGATGAAAAAAATATAGTATTGCTGGCGGTTGAGAATAGGCAAACCAATGTATACGAGTTCTTACTCGAGAGGAGTATCTTGAAAGATAGCATATTTAGTAAAGTGGACAAGGATGGCAACAGTGCTGTGCATCTAGCTGCAAAGATTGGAGAATATCGTCCCTGGCTTATCCCCGGTGCCGCCTTGCAAATGCAATGGGAAATCAAGTGGTATGAGGTTTGTATCTATCTAGGCCGAACCAGAAACTTATCTAAATTGTTACATAGCGTTGTGAAAAAAAAAATTACGAGAAATTTAAATAAATTTAACAAATAATTTTTTAATTTTTAAAAGTTTTGAACTATTAGAATGTTAGTATGCAATTGGTTATTAAATTATTGTCTTAAGCTATTTTATTGATTAATATAATCTAATAAATAAGTAGTAAAAAATATTTAAGACCCCTAAAATATAACTCTTAAATTTATACTCAATGATGTTAAATGTTGCATATCAGTTGATTGTTTAGAAATTAATTAACTAAGACTCAAGACATGTCACTATGAATAAATTTATGGGAGAAATTTTAGGTTATTTAACACTGTCCATAAAAAAAGTACACATACCATTTTATTTTTAAAATTAAACAAATAAGTGATATGTACCTCCTATATTAGTAAAATCAACTTGATAAAATTAATGATATTATTTAAAATATAAATAATTAGAGATTATTTATTTTCATTATACATTGTGAAAAATATTAATGAAATAAAAATAATTTTTATAAAATTAAGAAATCATCCCATTATATATTTTATAGATAGTCATAAATATAAAATTAATAATAAATTGTAAAAAATCAGACCCGGCCCCCTACACCCTTTATCTACCAACACATTTCAACTACGTTTTGTGATCGAATTTTTCCAAAACACTCCGCACTTTATGAAATTTATATGATTGCGAATTCCATGCTTGGATGTAATGCAGTTTGTGAAGTATTCGATGCCGCTACATTTCTTTGTACACTACAACAAAGCCAATGAAACTCCAAAGGACATATTCACAAAATCACACAAAGATCTCGTCAAACAGGGTGGTGAATGGCTCACCACCACCTCAAACTCGTGCTCTGTGGTGGCTGCACTCATTGCAACTGTGGCCTTCGCCACTGCAAGCAGTGTGCCCGGTGGCAATTCAACTGAAGGTAAACCAACGCTCGAGAACCAGCCTGCCTTCAACGTCTTTGCCATCGCATCACTGGTTGCACTGTGCTTCTCTGTAACTGCCTTAGTAATGTTCCTCGCCATCCTCACCTCTCGGAATCAAGAGAGGGATTTCCGTATGAGCTTGCCAAGGAAACTTTTGTTGGGTTTAACTTCACTATTCGTATCAATAACTGCAATGCTCGTATCTTTCTGTGCTGGACACTTCTTTGTCCTCAAAGATGAACTGAAGTTTGTGGCAATCCCGGTATATGCAGTGACGTGCTTGCCCGTAACATTCTTTGCAATAGCTCAGTTCCCATTGTACTTTGATCTTATGTGGGCTATGTTTAAGAACGTTCCACAGCGTAGCTACAGGTTGGTTGCCCAATAAGAATGTTCCACACCGCGTTGCTCCCTTCTTTTAGGCGTTTTCGTGAGTTTTCTTTGAGTTGGTCTCTTTTCAATTTGGGGTTATGCTTCTAAGTTATGATGCCTGTTTGGGAGGGTTTTTTTTGGTTTTTTCTTTTTTTTTTTTGAAATATGTTCTTGGTATGTATTGATATAATTGTGTTTTCATATTAATAAAATTTCTTCTGCGTGCCAATATTTTTTTTTTTTTGAAATATGTTCTTGGTATGTATTGATATAATTGTGTTTTCATATTAATAAAATTTCTTCTGCGTGCCAATAAAAAAAATTAGAAGTGTTTGAATTAGATGTTTTCCTTCATTATTCGAGATATTAACTTGGGTTTCAAGGAAGAGTAATGCTACGAATCATGAAAAAAATATCATGAAGATGATCATGAAAGATTCTCCACCTTTGGATTACACCTAGAATATAACACCACACATTAATCAAGGAATGAAAAATTTTTGGTGGCTGCACTCATTGCAACTGTGGCCTTCGCCACTGCAAGCAGTGTGCCCGGTGGCAATTCAACTGAAGGTAAACCAACGCTCGAGAACCAGCCTGCCTTCAACGTCTTTGCCATCGCATCACTGGTTGCACTGTGCTTCTCTGTAACTGCCTTAGTAATGTTCCTCGCCATCCTCACCTCTCGGAATCAAGAGAGGGATTTCCGTATAAGCTTGCCAAGGAAACTTTTGTTGGGTTTAACTTCACTATTCGTATCAATAACTGCAATGCTCGTATCTTTCTGTGCTGGACACTTCTTTGTCCTCAAAGATGAACTGAAGTTTGTGGCAATCCCGGTATATGCAGTGACGTGCTTGCCCGTGACATTCTTTGCAATAGCTCAGTTCCCATTGTACTTTGATCTTATCTGGGCTATGTTTAAGAACGTTCCACAGCGTAGCTACAGGTTGGTTGCCCAATAAGAATGTTCCACACCGCGTTGCTCCCTTCTTTTTGGCGTTTTTGAGAGTTTTCTTTGAGTTGGTCTCTTTTCAATTTGGGGTTATGCTTCTAAGTTATGATGCTTGTTTGGGAGGTTTGCTTGTTTGGGAGGGTTTTTTCTTTTTTTTTTGTGAAATATGTTCTTGGTATGTATTGTGTTTTTATATTAATAAAATTTCTTCTGCTTGCCAATAAAAAAAATTGTAAGTGTTTGAATCAGATGTTTTCCTTCATTATTCGAGATATTGACTTGGGTTTCAAGGAAAATTTGTTTTGTACGAGTATATTGACCTGATTTCCTTATATATATATATATGTATATACTCAAATTTAGATACTTTTTTTTCATTATTTGGGATGGTTTCAAGAAATTGTTTCTCAAAACTATTAATCTCAGGCCATGTATATTTTTCACGTACTGAGTTAGATTGGGTTATCATATTTAAGATTACTAATTTTGAAATTATTAATTCATTTAGATTGTATATCTTATCACATCTTTGGATTAGACCAAATTAAGAAGAGGAATCAACAAAATCTTATCAATTTTATAATTTAAACATTTCTTTAATTTCTCATTTTGTATTCTAGCTCCTCTTTTGGGATTCAATAGTCTCTCTATGAGAATATCATGTTTGGGAGGAATATTAACTTGGACACCAATTTTTGCAACCAAATGTGGAATTACATATTTTGTTTGATTATTAATCTAATTCCAAGAGCACCTCACCTAAACAATCATGATTATTTTTCTCAAATATAATAAAATTAAAATACTACAATATGACACTTAACACTCTTTTTTATTTCTTTATTTCTTCTCTTATACTATATTTTTTTTAAATCTCATCACATACAAATTATTATTCATAATATTCCATTTGAATTATTATTTTTATTAATACCACCGTATTATCTCCTCTCTTTTTTCTTTTTTATATTAATACTAGTACTACTATTATCACCCGATGTCCCGCACCCAAATAAAAAACAATTTATTTAATTAATGAGAAAGGCAGACAAATTGAGAATGGAAAGTGGTAGTTGTTCTTGGGTGGGGTTGGATTCACTGACTTGGCATTCCGACCGATTATTACCGAAATCAACCGATTTTATTAATATTTTTACTAAATATCTCATATGGATGTAGAATTTTCACCATGTAAGTACTATATGAAATATTTGGTAAAAATCTTCATAAAACATTTGAAATTCCTAACATTAGTCAACGAGAAATGACAAAAAAATTGAAAAAGAACCAACAATATCAAACAGATTGAAAATTAAAAATTACTTCTAGCAAAATCATGATCAAACAACCAAACTGAATGTTCAATTAAAACAGTTCATCATTTTTCAAGAATAAAAAGGAACGTAGGCGACGAGTCGAATCAAACGGCTAGGGTTTCTCCGACAGTGAAACACGGTTGACTATTGAGTTCGTGAAATTAATTGTTGGGCTGGATCATGAAATCAGACTCTTAAATTATTTATTGGGCCGGGTCGTTAATGATAAACAAACAAAATGCTACACGAGCGAGTCACATGGATGCCACATGGGCTAGCCAACAGTATACCAGTTCAAGTCTACAAAGTACGGGCCCAGTTTGGGCTTGTCATGAGAACTTAATGGTGACTGACTTCAAAATATAATGACAAGTTCAAACAAACCCAATATTTTGAAAAGTATATTCCAGTATCCAAGTCAATTTGCACTAATATTCAACTGATCTGTAGTAAGATAAAATAAAAAATTGTTCAGAATGATTTGAGATTTTTTTTTCCCTGAAATAACATAGTATTTTAGACTATTCAAAATTGATTTGGGAATAAATAAAATATAAAATAATAAAATAATTTTGTTTGAAACATTTTTTTGGATAAAATTATAAATACGCTCCCAAAATTTACTTAAAATACAAATTACTCCCATGATTTTAGAAAATTACAAATATCTCCTTGTTAAAATTTTTATTGCAAGTTGTATTTGCCCACTTGTGTGCCATGTAATTATTTGTCCTTGCAATTCCAGGTCACACGCTTTAACTGTTATTTGTCCATTTGCCTGCAAGATTGAAAAGCAATTTTAAAAAAATATTATTTTAAATAATGATCATTAAAATGACACTGTCTATATATACTTTCCTGGTGAACTTGTTTGCCACTCTGAATTGTTAAACAACCAACAGGCATTCCAATCTTTGTAGGTACTCTGCTGATGTTTGTCTAATTTTATTTTTTGTCTATATATATTGTCACGACCCAAACCCGTTCCCATAGGTTTAACATCGTAACCGGCCAGTAATCCTTGGATTACCGAAGACCTTTGAACAGATTAACACATAATCAGGGATTGCGGAAGCAAATATAGAAACATACATAGTCCATGGAGCTATGCAGACATACATGGGATAGATAATTTAAAACCTTGTATATATATACACAAAAGAACTAGTCACAAAACAACAAAAGTCTCAAGCTTATGGCATGGTTTACAAAACTCGATCGTTGAACTCTTTTCGGAACCTCCTCGGGAGACACAATGGTTGGCAGACAAAACAGAAACTCCAGGTCATCAACTCTGAGCCTGGTCACGTGCCTGGTTGCCTACATACATAATATAAACAGTGAGCAAAACTCAGTAAATAATAACAGAATAAAGATTTTAATGAATGATATCCAGTTTCATATCATATCATATCAATCAGAGAGATAAGTATAGTCATATCAAAAACAGAGTCATGTTTATATTCGTATTCAAATCATGTGTAGTACTTTCATTAGCATTAACATATCTCTTTGGTCAAGCATATTAAGTTCCATAATGGAACTTTCGGTACCGGGTAACATATCTCATACATAGGCCACGGTATTGTCTCCCCCGGGTGAGAGCCTGGGCCATAGTATTGTTTTCCCTGAGCGAGAGTCTCTGCTAAGGATACCACAATTACGTTTTAAAGATATGGATCATCATTTATGAAATCACAAATTGTCTTTTGTATCATTCAGTGACAATTCATATCATATCATAATGTTCAGAAAGTATTTCATATCGAACACAGCTTTACTAAGTTATTATTCACAAATAGTTACACAGATAGCTTGATAGCAACCAATAAATCAACAACTTACGGTGCGTGATTTACACAAACATAACAGATATACATACTGAAACACATGCTCGGATCGTACTTAACTTACTTCATTTTATTCTTCGTGTGTTTCTTAGTCTTATCCTTATTATTATGTCTTAATCTTGGCCTAAGAATGCCTAGAATGTAATGAGAATACTAAAATGTACTTGAAAACACTCAAAACATGTAAGTGGTCGCTCGAGCGGAACTTCCTTCGCTCGAGCGAACGTCCAAACATGTGAGTGGTCGCTTGAGCACAACTTCCTTCGCTCAAGCGGTCTGTAAACTCTGCAAAAATACTAGTTGTGTGATTTTTTCGCTTGATGGTCGCTCGAGCTTGAGATTGAGGTATTCACTCGAGCGTAACTCTTGTCGCTCGAGCGGTCTGCAAAAATTGTAAACTTATGAGAGCATGCATTTTACGCTCGAGCCAACTTTTGGTCGCTCAAGCAAGAGTGCAAAATACAAAGTGGTTGTTCGAGCGCAGGTTTTGTCGCTTAAGCAGAGAGACAGAATCTGGAATTTCCAAATTACTCTTCCAAATTTAAAGTTCAAATTCAAAGTTGCAAATCATGGTCTTTTGGGCCAAAAACTTGAGAAAACGCTTGAAAAGGGATAAATCATGGTGAATTCAACATCATTTTGCAAAATTAAGCCCAAAAGCATGTCAATTATTCAAAACCAAATCTTAAACTTAGTATATGACACATGCATGCATTGTGTTGAGTTCAAACTCCTCAAATCATGAACAAATGAGATGTGATACACAAAATCATATTGAAGTCCTAGCGTTTAACAAATATAACTCCATGCATGTGAGGTTCAAAATGGAATTCAAACTCAATTTTCATGAAGTATGCCTGCACTGCATGAATCATGCTCACATTCCTTAATCTAAGCTCAATTCTCAAATTTAAACACTTAAACCTCTTGAGTTCAACCACTTATGTTTTTAAGGGCATGATCCTTACCTAAAGTTCCTAATTCTCTTGAATTCTAGCAAATTCTTGCTCAATTCCACAAATTTTCCTTCAATCTTACCAACTCCCCTTTTCTTCTTCTTGAATTTAATCATGGTTTATCAGTTAATCATAAGTCGGGGTAGTTACATATATCCTCTAATTTTATATTTATTTTATGTGTTAAATTAATTTCTTATTGAATGAATGTGGTACATGACCCCAATGTCTATACAGCATAAAAAGATGGACAATTTCAATGATGATGGTGATTATGATAATGATGACAATGTTGTTGGATCTTCACAACAACCAAATCACCCGTATAGGAATCCTTACCTAATGGCAGTAGCAGTGGCAAGAACAATTTATGCAGAAAATTACATAAATAAACGACCATGTAGGACATCTGCCCTCATAAAACATCAATGGATGTTAGAATTGCAACATGGTAATGCTACAAGAATATATGAAAATTTTAGAATGGACAGTAATTTTTTTTATCGATTATGCAATTTATTAGAGACTGATTATGAACTACAAAGTGGGAAAAAAGTTGGAGTTCAACATCAAGTTGCTATTTTTTTTGTTTATTGTTGGTCAACATACAAACAAGAGAAATGCTCAAGAAAGATTTCAATTATCAGGTGAAATTATTTCGAAATACTTCCACTCTGTTTTAAAAGCGTGTGAAAATGTCCGTAGATTAAGTGAAGCCTTGGCAGAGAAATGGGGTCTATCCGTACATAAAGAATAGTCGAAAATATTACCCTTATTTTAAGGTAACTAGAATTACTCTCTCTCTCTCTCTCTCTCTCTCTCTCTTAAAAAAAAATATATATTTTATGATATTTTTTGTATGTAGAGTTGTATTGGGGCAATTAATGGAACACATATCAAAACTCATGTGGAAGTAGAATACTTACCCCATTTCATAGGTAGGAAGGGATACGCTACACAAAACATATTGGCAGTATGTGACTTTGATATGTGTTTCACCTTTTGCTTGCCTAGTTGAGAGGGAAGTGCACATGACACGCAAATTTTTTAGGATACAATTAGGAATCCAAACAATAATTTTCCATATCCACAAGGAGATATATATGTAACACAAATTAAGATTTATTCGTTTATTCTATATTAGTTATGTTCATATTTTACTTTGTAGATGAGTATTATTTGGTTGATTCTGGCTATCCAAACACAAAAGGTTATCTTGCGCCATACAAAAGGGAGAGATATCAATAGTGGTGAAAAAATGATAAAAGGAAGTGATGGTAAGAAGTGGTAGGGAAAATATATATATATATATATATTATATAGAAGTAATTTTATGATTATGATCATAATTTTTAATTTGTACAAATGCATAATGTTTTATTTTTAATGTGTTAAATAATGAAAATAAAATACAAAGTTCAAGAGAAAAATTACAATTCAATGATATCTTATTAATATTCTAAAGTTTCTCCTTAATTAATTTATTTATTATTAAAATATACACTTAGAACTATTTGAAAAAATAATTAAAAACTCATTTTTATCTTTTTAAATTTTTCTCAAAGAGCCCTTAATTTGATATCAGAAATGATACATCCTTCTAATTTTAAAGCTTTAAACAGAACTTTAATGTCTTGATAATGAAAAAAAAAAAAGCACAAGACACAAATATCAGACCTACGTACCATTAAAACTCTCTATAACTCTACACTCAGAGCTCCTAATCTTATTTTCATTTGATATTTCGCAAGTTAAAAATACATCACACTTTCATCATTAGCCCGAATGACGAGATGACAGTAACGGTAATTTGGGTTAGAAATGTGATATGAAAAATGTTATGAATCCTAAATAATCTATTATTACACAAATTTACATGTGTGCGGGCTCCACACTCATGTGAGAAGTTTGATAAAAACTTTGGTAGACTATTTGAGATTTCTAGCATAACTCATGTGATATAGCACCCCCGGCAATTACGTTGCATCTTGGGGTTGCATTTTGAAGGGAATGTTTTTGAGTAATGTTAAAGGTCTCAAAAATTCTATTAAAATTTTTATCAAATGTCTCACATGGGTGTGAGATGTTTAGTTGAAATTTTGATAAAATTTTTAAGATATCTAACATTTTTTAATTTTTTTTCAGTGATATTAAAATTTTATAAAATAAAAAATATATAATATTTTTATAATAATTAAAAAAATTAATATTTTTATAAAAAAAATTTTGATTCAAACAAATTTTATCGACTCATGAAAAAATCACTTTTAACATAATTTTTTTAATTTTTACAATTTGTTTTTCCCCATTTTACAAAGAAATTTCATCAAAACTTTAACTAATAAAAAAACACATCTTAAATCTCTTATATTACACAAAATTAAACGACTTGTTTGATTTTGGTTTTCAGAAAACACTTTTTAGAAAATTTTATATTTTTATTTTTCATCTTTTTTCTTTTCAATGAATTTTTTAATATTTTAATTAATTTTTAATTTTTTTTTTAAACACACCCAACATAAATATACTTAAAAATATAATATTTTGAATGTCTATTATAATCATTAAGGTTTAGGGTATAATTGCCATTAAATTAAAAATTCTTCCCTTAGCAATGGAAAAATTATATTTCCACACACCACATTATCTCACTCCACACACTTAATAATTTGATTATTAAATATTTATCTCAGTCTACACACCCTCACATTCCAAATATACCTATTTAATGAAAAATGTGTACACTCTCGGCAGATTATATTAGACAAAATTCATAAATAACTCCAAGGCTCTAACAAGCCAAAATCAAGATTCTTTCTGCAACAACAACAAAAAAAAAAAAAACAAAAATAATTTGATCAAAAAACACATATGGATTTGTTCCAAAACACAAATTAAAAGCAAACCCATTTCTCAGAAAACACAAATGAAAGGATTACCTATCTTACCTTCACACGATTATGATAAAACCCAGTTTTTAGATTCATGACGGGTCTCCTCAAAACCTCATGGAAACCAAATTTAACCCCAAATTAGGAAGATTCAAAGACGACCCATTACTGAAAACACCTTCCCAGCAAACAACTTCAATGAAATTATGTAGTAGGCACCAACAAATGATACACACAAACTAGAAAGAAAACAAAGAAACGTATAATTTAATAAATACAGATTTTGTGGATTCTTGTGAAGTTAGCAGTTGAACCATCATCAATGAAGAAAAAATACGGAAAGTCACAAAATGAGTGCGTGCACACCCTCATCAGATTATGTGTGGGTAAGATGATTGTGAGTGAAGTGGTAATTTTATTGAAAGATAAAATTATGAATCTGAAAAAAAATTCATTAAGCGTGTGATTTAAAGAAACTTGATGCGTGGAAATAGAGAATTTCCCTCTGTTTATTTAGGCGTGTGGAAATGCAATTTCCCCAAAAAGGGAAGACAGACAGGAAGAAACAGTTTACCATGTTGGCCGGAATCAGGCACCATGTCACTGGAAGAAACAGTTTACCGGTCACCACTCGACAATCCTCTCCACCATCTCACTCAAGATGACATCTCTCCACTCACTCGCTTTCATTTCCCTCGATACCTCAAAGCCAAAGGTTTCTCTCTCTCTCTCTCTCTCTCTCTCTACAAGGGCTAATCGGAAGGTCCGCACAGGGATGAGACGACCTTCGTGGAACAAATCGCAGGCGATGCAACAATTCATCTCTCTCAAGAAACTCCGTCTGATTCTCTACATTCTTCGCCCCCCTGCAATTCCACATCGTGTGCATTTCAATCATCTACTATCCCTCACTCCCACACACTCCCTTTCTTTTTTTATATTTTTTTATTACTACTAAAAAAAAAAGTCAAGAATGTTTATCTACTTTTTATAATGTTTTTTTTTTTTAATTCATTGATTCACTTGTAAACTGCAACTGTAGTGTATGTTTATTGATAGATTAAATTATACTGAATAATTAGGATATATGTAAGAGCAACCAGTGTTTGTTCTTAATTTGTTATTATCAATCGAACAAACATCTTTACTTGTGTCAGCCTGTCAGGAATGAGGTTATAAGATATGAATTGTTAACAACATAATTTGTCTACATGGGTTTCGGTACGAGAACGAACAACCACTAATTGTTGTTGGACCCGATATCTAAGATCCTAGTTTGGTAATGCAAGAAGAGCATTTGTCAAACAATTTATACTTGTGGTGGGTTTAAATGGAAAACTTGTTTCTAGTGTTGTTGGGTCATGTTTTCAACACTTGCAGACTTATTTCATTATACATGCTAAAAAAGCACAGTCCACTTAGCATCATTCGTTTTGCTACATTGTTTGGACTTGAAGATCTTTGTTTGAAAATTTTGCCACTGCTCTGCATCTCTATTTGCGAGTTTGAGAGAAGATGGAAATCAAAAGTAAGAAGAAGACATAGAGGGAATTAAAATAATAATACTGATAGTAATAATAACGTTCATCTTGACAGGGAGTTTTGAGGTTAGATTCACAACAACGGTCTTTTCTGTATTTGGGATTTTGCTGTGATGCTTTCTAAACACAGATAATTTAGTTGCAACTGAACTTCAACTCTTGTTATCCATGAGCTTTAGGTCTACTAAAGGTTTTCTTTGTGCACATCCTGGCATGGCTCCCACAACCCCAAATTTGGTTACTTCTTGTACTTTTTTACTTCGGGAGAAACTACTTCATTTATTTTATATTACAGCTTGCAATCCAAATTAACTTGCAATTGTACAAAGTGTGTTTGTCTGTATGAGTGGATAATGACTGACAAATGACATATTTCTTTGTTCTAAATGAACCCAGAACCGCAAGTGCAGCAAATGGCCCAGAAGGACAAATAACAATATTCGGTTGTGGCAAAGTAAATGTCTATGATGATGTGCCAGCTGAGAAGGTATTGAAGCTTTTCCTTCTGAGTAAATTCCCTGAGATTATTCTGATGGTATTCTAGGCCTCTAATGTGACCAAAATGTTTAGGCATAAGTACTAATGCAGCTTGCTGCAAGCCCACTCCAATTGCCTCTAGAAGTTCCATTTGAAGGAACTACGGCAAGACGACCTTTGCTGTGCCATTTACAGGCTGCAACTGTTAAAGTAGGCCCAGATGCTCTTGTTGTAATATTGCCAACCTCACAAGCAGGTAATTTAGAATACATTAAGAATCCTCTCCCTTTGTTTTATTTCATAGATTATTGAACTTCCAGCTTGGAATGTCTTTAAGGATTGTGTCCATTCTCCTTTGAGCCACTTGTCTAATAGGCATTCTTGGTGCCTGGATGGCAAAAAACTTGGCTAACACAAGCAGAGCACATTGTTCGCCTTCAATAAATGGCCTGTTTTTACTTGCCAATGATAATGGCATGGAAGCATACACAGCATATTTGTAAACTGTTATATGTTGTGGTTAATAGTTGTGCTTATGCTCAGTATTAATTTGTTATCTTGTTCTGGCTTTATAGTGAACATGACTGACAACTGTCAGCTGCAAAGGGAGGAAAGCGCCATATTTCATGAAGACAACCCTGGTAAATGCTTCTACCAGATTATAATTGCTTCATTGGGTTATATATAAATAGGAACAACAGATCACTATTTTTGGCATCGTTAGATCAATGTTGAATAAGGGGAGTTTTTTTTTTATTTTTTATTATTATATATTAGTGGGTGAAGGTCCAGGAAGCAGAAAAGCATCAGTGCAAAGATATCTTGAGAAGGGAAAAGACAGGTATCTTAAATGGCTAAACTGCCTTATTGGACAAGCAGATAGATCTGCAAAGAGTCCTTTTTGTTTTACGATTTTTGTTACTCACATCCATGTTAAGTGAAGGTGCAAGAGCAAGAGAAAGGTAGCAACCTCTACATCTGCTAGCATGGACATTTACTTGAACCATCAGATTGGGAATCTGGCCCAGAATGAGCACTCAAACAGGAGTGACGCATGCTCCTCACCCCAAATCAGACCACCCACCACCCCTACCAGGTGCGGCTCAGCGGAGAATAATATAGTGAAGCATGCAGGTAACACTTTTGTTGCTTTTGTTTTTCACTTGAAGTGGATAAAAGACTAATCAAATTTCAAAATAATATCGTCTTATTCTTCTTCCATAAACTATATGATACTGCTAGAGTAGCCTAGACAAAAAAAAAAATGAGGGAAGAAAGACTTTGAGTAGCTAGCAACCCCAATGATGCACAAACATGGAGAAGAAGACGTATGAGTTTGCATGTGCATGCCTGTAAAGATTCTGTGCACTCAAATAAGAAGATCCCAGCCAGCCCTACCATAATATATTGCTTTTTAAGTAAGTACGTTTGGTAGAAAAACTAAATAAATAAATAAAACATCGTAACAGTATTTCAAGAGGAAAATCTAAACTGATATCTTTGGGATTTCTTCTGATAAAAGGGCTATAATTTTTTCAAAGAGTCCAGACATCTTGTTACTTGTTACTGATGCATGACAACCCTCTGTGTGTTTCTAGGCCTAGGGCCCAACCAGTAAGTATAATATAAAACTACGTTGTTTGTACAGTAGAATTCTTCAATCCCTTATATATTTTCTCTCAGATGGAGGAGTTGTTGGCTTGTTTATTGTCCCTCTTTGGATCCTTCTGTTGTATTGCGAGGCTTGTGTTGCTTTTAGCGTGTGGCCTATGGGTGCCAGTAATAGAAGTTGTGGGGTGTAAATCACCATTGCCTTTTTGTTGCAATTGAAGAGATGAGGTTAAGATCTCTGTGCTTAAATTGAAGCAGATTACATCTCACAAAGATCTTTTGTTTTTTTGTTTGTTTGTTTGTTTTTTTTTTTTTTTGTGTGTGTGTGTGTGTATGCATGCACACAGGGGTGGGGGTGGGCACTACGGCTCTGATTCTTCTTTGGGGTTTTTAGCCGGATAGAGAAATTATTTTTATATACACAAAATGTTGTTTTGCATCTATCCCCAAGTGGAAACTTCAGCTGCTGTTGCAGAATTTGCTGTACCTTGCATAATTTTTAGAAGTCTTTTATGTTGACTCTGCTGAGTCTGCCCCAATGTTTATCCAATCCAAATCACCATCGCCTAACTCACTCTTTATTGTCCTACACAATTGTAGGCATCCCATTTGTTTTATTTCTGGATGATTAGAAGAATGCTCTATTTGAAAGTACTACTTAAATTTCTGCCGACTGTTCAGGGTGGAGTTTGTTGTGCATCTTTTCTTTTTTTTTTTTCTTCAAATGTTTGTGTAATTTGTTTCTGGGTTGGTATTGACTTTGAATTGTGATAAAGGATCTGTAATGGCTTCTGTATTGCAGATGTGCGAGAATGAATTTGGAGCAGATGGTTTCAGTGGGCCGTGTCAGCGGTTTATCATGTCTTCATGCTTGTGGCCTCCAATCATGCAAGATAGCTCGTGAAAATGGAGAAGAATGCCTAAAAATGTAAGCTTCCTTGTAATTTTAATTTCTTTTCTTTTTGGATTTGAGATCTGCATCTTTGGTTGCTGCTGTTTGAGTTAATGAAGAGAAGATTACCATCCTATTTGTTTGTCTCTCATATTTACCTTTAAAACTAGTTTGAGATGTTTCTAATAAGAAGTGGTTACTTGGAGAACTTTCAGGGGCAATACCCTTGAGAAAAACGGGCCATTATGATATGAAGTTAATGACAATCTAAGTGCTCGTTTGGCATGTGGGTTTGGGTGAGGTTAGGGTTATTTTAGTTACAAAAAGATAAAATAGACTTTTTAGTCTAATAAGACAAAATGTCATATCCAAACTGTAATCGTTTTATTTTTTCTCTCACAAAAGTCAAAAAAGTCAAAAACTCATCCCAAACGAGACTTTTTTCCCAGGCTAAAATAGTCAAAAAGCTAAAAAGTCAAAAAGTCAACCCACATCCCAAATGCATGCTAAATATGGACGTTTCTAGGTATCCACAAAATATTCATGGTCAACATACCTTATTTGATGAATGAGATGGTAATTTTGAAGAGCATGATATTATTACAAACATAAATTATAGTAGGGTCATGATGATTGAAACAATAAAGACAACTAAACTAAAATTTTGAGATTGTAGAGGCTGTCATATTCATTGAATTGATATATGTCGGCACAATGTTTAAGTTAGTGAAACAACCATACAAGTGACCATATGATATTTCTGTAAGTTTTCTGAATAAACTTGTATATTCAACTTGTATTTGATTACAACATGACCCTAGATTATATAGTCTGAACTCCTAAATCAAAAAAAGAAAATACAATCACGCCTCAATCACGCCTATACACAATCATGCCTATAATATGTACAATCACAATCATGCCAAATATGAAATATACACAATATATTTTCACAATTTCAGCTGGACGATGCTAGTTGATGGGCTGGCCTAGCGATTCAACTGCTAATTCCATCTGTTGAAGCAGTGATGTGATTAATAGGTTAAGAAAATTTTGGCAGAAGGCCAGAGTCCACTTACTATCCGAGCAGAGTATTAACAGGATTTATTGTGTTTTAATCAACAAAATTCAAGGAAAGGTCATTCTACTTTTTGTGCTTGCCTGTGCAATTTATATTTTTTGTTGTCTAGCTGTAGGTTACTGTCTAGCTGTAGGTTACTCTTTTGTTATCTTTGTTGGATGCACCACAAAATTGTTCTTGATTGGGGTTTAAATTTGTTGGCGAGCCTATTTGGGCAATGCTTTACTAGGCCGTTTGTTGTTGCTTCTGCTGAAGCTTATGCGATAGAAATAGCTCAAAATTTGATTATCTTGAAGCTGAGTGGTGTTTTCTTAGATTCTGCTTATAGAATAGCTTACAGCTTGAAATAAGTTGCAGCAGACATATGAAATTTAATTAGGAAAAAGATAAACACAGACAAATAGTGAAGCCCTCTTGGATATGGACCAAATCTTTGTGAAATGGGGGCCAGGGTGAAATGGAAGTGGAGGATTTGAGTTTGACATTTTGTGAATGGGTTTATTATGCGAAAATCTGGGTCAAACCAGCTAATGATATTAGTAATGACAATATATTTAAATGTTACAAGTGTTTGCTGGCGATAGTTTTTGTCTTCTTTGAATTCTAGACAAAACCAATACTGAACCCAGCTCGCATTTGCCTCTAAATTTGTCTAATTTTAAACAAATCAACCAATATATCATTGATGTGCCTACTCTTTCAACCTATTCTACTCGTCTTTTTTCTTCACACACACCCCACCCCCCCTTATGAAGAAGGCACTGATATTTAGAGGAATGATGGGAATTAGAGTACTTTGAAACATGGAGTCAAATTTTCTTACATTTTTGTCCAAACAGTTGTTTATGTGAATAGTTTAAACAATTGTAAAAGTGTATTTTTATTGGGATGATTTGGACTTTTGAGATTGGGTGATAATTATTTTTCGTAATTCACATAAAATAGAATTTTTGGCTTTCTATAATAATATAGTATAGATATATGTAGACGAAAAATCATATTATCATGTTAGACTAGAAGATAGCTCTCTTGACAATTTAGATTATGTTTAGATTATAGATTTGGGTAAAAATTTAAAAGAGAAATGAATATGGAGAAAAAAAAATTACCTTATATTTTATTCACATTTATCTCATTTTTTTTTCTTCCTTTTCAAATTTAAATTCATGATTTAAATATAGTATTAACTAAAATTAAATTAAGCCAGCCATAATCTGGCTACAAGTGTAAATGACTTTCTTAATCTTTTATATATCTATAGTTCTCAAAATAAATAAATGAATAAAATAAAAAATAAAAAATAAAAAATGTAAACTTATGGCTTTGACTAATAAACACAGTTTGATTTGATGTACACAAATAAATCAGTTGATAGGTATATCATGGGCTAAAGTCTCTTTTTGTGTGCTTTGCTGATTGAATATATTTTTTAAAAAGGAAAATGAGTGAGAGCATTAATTAGTACTATCACTAATGATGTGGCAGTGGTTCTCACTAGGAATGATTTGATGTTTTGGCCTTGGTGTTGTATTTTTTTCTTTTTTTTATTGAGTGCCATGTCATTAGTGATCTTTTAGAGTTTCAAAATTAGTGGTCTCTATCATTGTTGTTTTAAAAAATTAATTAATTAAAAACAAACAAACAAACAAAGAACAAACAGTTGGTTATGCCATTAATGTTGCGGCTCCACCTGGACCCACCCCATCCAATACGTCAAAAAAATTAAAAAAGTAAATAAAAATAAGAAAATATTTGGTGGCTCAATTTTTATTACTCGAATAGCTCAATTGTGTTAAAACGATATCGTTTTACATTTAAAATAACTTTGTTTTGAGTGTTTCGAACTATTTAAACTATGATTTTTCAGGCTACCAAAAATTATTGATAAAAATAAAAGAAAACCACAGTAATTCAATTATCACAGGTCATAAACCTTTTCCAAATGTATTGATATTAATAATAGATCCAAATTTTGTTCTGAGGACCATACGATTACCCTTTTACCTGTTAAGTTCACTTCAAAGTCTACATAAACTCATTGGTTTGAATATGCAGTTTTGTCACTGTTACAAATTAATTTATCAATTATTCATATTAAGGACGCATTTAATTACACTGCATAAAAAGTATAAGGAATGCATTTAACCTCTTGCCTCAAGACGGGTAGCCTTTAGTTATACTCCATAAATTTCTTTTTTTAATGCCTGCTTTTATTTTGAAGGCACAACAATTTTTCAGCGGTGGTGTTACATGTACCAATTAGTATGATAACTAGTGTACTAACACTAATTATGAATTTATTATTGACCCCACCCATTAATCACATTACAAATATAAAAAACCTTTTAAATTATGACACATCATGAATTAATACACTAAGTAGTACACTAATTGATACATATAGCATTATTTTTTTTTTTCAAAAGGTAAAATAATTTCAGGACTATTGGCTATATATACAATAACCTTGATTTACATTTATGAGTTATATTTGAGAGAGCATCCGGGGGCTCCAAGGTCTCGATGTGAACATAACCAACCAACCTTCTGTTACTTTTGAAAGGTGAATCACTCAAAATCATTTGAATTTCAATTTTTGTTGACAAAAGTGTGAAACTATCATACATTTTCTTGGAAGTACTTGTGTGGAATATTTGACAATAGTAATAGTGAGTGAATGAATTCAGTAACAAGCTGGTCAATTTTTTTAAGCTTAGATTGTGGGAATTCAATATTACCATCATTAGTAAAAATTAGGAAGAATTGCATTTCAAGGGAGCAAAGACAATATATATATATATATATATTTATGATGGTGCAACTCTCATATGTTCATGGTGTAAATTCATTTATGTGTTTGGTTCAACTCTTTCTGTGTGTCAGAGTTACACTAAAAAATATTTTCATTTATAGTGTAATTACTTTGTAATTGTCTTATTTATTTGCAATTTCTCTAAAAAATTATAGGGTCTTGCTGACAAACAATTTAGGGTACCAAAAAAAAAAAAAAAAAAAGACAAAAATTATACAAGTCGAGGCAATTTTCACTAATTTAATTTTTTTAACCATCTCACTATTTTCGAAACACTTTTTGTACAAATTCTAACATCAATTTTTTTTATTGGTTTAAATAGTGGAGTTCGTTATTTTATGCTAATTTTTTAAAAACCACATAACAAGTGTCAAAATATGAATAGTGTGAAGTATTGTTCTGTCACGACCCAAACCCGGCCCTATGGGTTTAGCACCGTAACCGACCAGTAATCCGAGATTACCGAAGGCCTGCTTATCAGTAATACAGTAAATCAGAGTACAGGGCCTGGCGGAAGCCAATACAGTAAATAAATAATGCCCAATGAGCTGTGACAATCTGCATGCCCAAAAAAGATTTTTCATGCATTCATACATAAACAGTACAGAACAGTATGCACAATATTTACATTCATTCAAACTAGGGACTCAACCCTACATAACAGTACAGGAAACATTCCGTCTATACAAAACAGTAAGACAGTACAGAAGGGGAATTCCTAAAACACCCCTAAGCCTTAGCAGATAGGCTCGGAACCTCGCAGTGAGGCACAAAGGCTGGCTTGACAAAACTGGAGTTACCCTGACGCCTCTAGCCGCGGTCTGGTGCCTGTACACCTACATATATATATGAGCAGTGAGCTAAAGCCCAGTGAATAACATAAAGCGTAAAGGGGTTTAGAATGAATGTCCTTACAGTAATGAAAACAGTTCAAATTCAATCAGTATTTCAGTTGTTCAGTACAATAAACAGTCATATGTGGTACATCCATTAACATAACAGTAACAGTAGGTCTTAAAAGACCGAACAGTAATGATGGCCATCAGTCAGTAAACAGTAGTGGCTCCACGAGGAAACCGATAGAGATCTCTGTAACAGTAACAGTAACAGTAAACAGTAGATACTAAGGATGCCACAGTACAGTTCAGAAATAAAGGACATACATTCATTCAAATATAGGACATACATTCATTCAGTTAACAGTAATCAGTTCAGAAAACAGTACAGTTCAGTTGTTCAGAAAATAATCATTTGTGAACATATCTTTACACATTCGTTACTCACAGAGTTCGGGCTACAGTATGCTAGAGTGTGCCTCTCCAGTCGCCAACCCTACACAATTAACAGATTGAACACACTAAGCTACACAGCTGGGAAAGATAATAATTTAACCCCTAATGCCTCGGTGTGTTCTACATCTATATCCTCAGTAAGATGCCTTAAACTAGGCCTAATAATGCCTAGAATGGGATGAGGATACAAAGATGTACTCAAAAAGCAATTTCAGATTTTTCAGAAAACAGGGGTCACGCTCGAGCGTAGGTCACTCCGCTCGAGCGGACATGCAGACAAAGGTACCCGCTCGAGCGTAGAATTACCCGCTCGAGCGTTATGCAAAAATAGTCAAAAGTGCTGGGCGGGTGGAATCTCCGCTCGACAGATGCTCTACGCCCGCTCGAGCGTGAGACACATGACTCCGCTTGAGTGCCCAATCCTCCGCTCGAGCGGACTGTAAAACAGTGCAGAGAAAATACTGGATGCTCGGATTCCACGCTCGAGCGCCACTTTCCACGCTCGAGCGGGATTGCAAAATCTGGAAAAACCCAGATTGCACCACCAAGCTCAACTTACATTCAAATGCATCAAAACCATTCCTCTTGGGCCCATTTTCTGGAAAACATTTATAAACACATAGTATAACATGGTTCAAAGCTCAATTTTGAGAAATCAAAGCCCAAGGGTGTTTAATTCAAGCTCAATTTCAAATCATTTTCAAGAACAATCTTCAAACATGACATGCATGATCTTTAAATAACTTTCAAGCTTCAAAACATGCTCTAGTGAGCCAATTGATTCCAAAACATGATGAAAGCATGGACTACTCTTAAAACATGGACATGCATGTGACAATTTGCCATGAATTCAACTCAAAACCCATTAATTCAAACATGCATGCATGAAATGAGCTTCAATTCACCATTAATGAACCAATTCATGACTTAGTTCCACAATGAAGCATGAATCATGCAAGAACAACTCAAAACATGAACAAGAAGACAATAGAGCTACCTTAAGTCTTGAATGCAAGATGAACGAGCTCAACTATGCAATCTTATGCTCTAAATCCTTCAATTTCCAAGCAATTCTACAAGTGAACTCAAGACTCTCACTTCCTCTCTCTCTCTAAATTCGGCTGAGTGCTCAAACAAGGCTGAGGAAATGTTTTGCTAAAGCATACACAAGGCTTCAAATATGAGTAAACAAAGGCCCCACTAGATGGCAAAAGTGTAATTACGTCAAACTCTTTAATTGGCTTATTTTAATCTAATTTAATCATACCTAATCAGTTTTCAGATAATTATACCATAAAATCATATTAAATATGACGATCATAAAACACCAATCAATTTCTAATTCGGCCGCCGATAAGGCCTTCAATTAGCAGTTTAAACATATAAGCATGAACAGATATTCATACAGTCAAACAGATAGAATGCAATTTAACTAACATATACTCAATCAATTCAGTTCCAGTTTTCAGTCAGTCGTTTCAGTACTTTAATCAGTTCATTTATCAGTCGTAATCAGTTAAGTTATCAGTCATAACCAATTCAGTCATCGGTAATCAATGTTTAACGGTAATCAGTGGTGAGGGTTGTTATATGTTCCAAAGTCACCAAATATTTTTTTCTCATATTGAGAGATGGAGAGGGCTGTAGAATTTTCAAAAAATATCGCTAAATTCATAGCTAATGATGATATGACAAGGGATCAAATTGATTAATTTTTAAACCAATCCATAAGTGATGTAAAATAATTTATATCATTATAAATAAATTTTAAAAGCTTATTTTAAAATCCTCAAATTTTTTTTTCCAAAAGAAATTAGTAGAGGTGGACCAGAGGGATTTTGATAATTTTGAAATGATACAATGCCAAGAATGTGAGTGTGGATGTGAGTGTGATGACGTGATTGGGTGAAAGTGGAGCTTGCTTTTATGCAACCTCTTGGGCATTGGGGGAGGGATGTCTTTACTCTGTGTTCACTCACACATTAATATTCATGTACTAATAAATCTTTCTATAATACCACAAACATGACATACTTCTAGGCACATGCTAAAATTAGTTTTTTTAAGTTCCTACATACCTAATTATCATTCACATCAAATATAAAAGAATAATATTATGTATCAATTGATATATTAACTAATATATCAATTAATAATGTGACACGCTTTAAGAGATTTTTAAAATTTGTAATGTGATTAATGAGTAGGATCAATAATAATGTCATAACTAGTATTAATATACTAGTTAATATATTAATTGGTGTATGTAGTACTACCGAATATAAAATGCATGTTTGGTTATCTCAAATAATTTTCATATAGTTTTAATTTTGTGCAAAACTATTTTTTTAATTTTTTTGAAACAACTTCATAATATTCCTATAAAATGAGTTGTTTAAATGAAAATATTCTCAAAAATAATTTTCAAAAATAATTTTTAAGAATACTTTTATGAAAAATGGTTATATATTACCCATTTATTTAGACAAACATGGCAAGATGGTAGTTATTCTCATAAATTACATAACAATTATCTTCAAATAAAAAAATCAATCACGAATATCTATATAAACAGTGATATAAAATGAGAACGTATATCATTTTTATTTTTTATAATTTTTAAGAAAAGAAAAATAATAACACAATCAAATATATCCTTTTTTATTATTATTTTAAAGGAATTTTTTTTTTAAAAATGATAAAGTGTTATGGTCATATTATAAATTAATTTTTAGTTTTTGTCTAATCTGGTGTGAATACTACATGTAAGGCTATCTCTCTAAGGTTGTATTTGATTCATAAGACTAATAGTGAAGTATTAATAATCTTATTAAATTAGTGTGGTATTCGCTATCCAATTGGATTAATATCTATTGAATTAATAATCTTACCCCTACCCCATTACTAATAATCTTACAAATTTGTTGGATTAATTATCCATTGGATTAATAATTCTAAACCAAAATGTTAAAACAAACATAAGATAATTTGTTGGATTAATTATCCATTGGATTAATAATTCTAAACCAAAATGTTAAAACAAACATAGGATAATTGGACCCACGGATTAATAATCACAATCTCATACTCTAATCCACCCAACCAAACATGTCCTAAGTGCTCAGCTCAATTTCATAATTCAATTTATTAAATCATTAAAATTCAACGGACCCTGCGCATCTTAGCAAAATACCGTGTCTGATGCTGATTGTAGCAACAAGACCAGAACAAAACGGCACCGTCTTAACACCATCGCTCATCAAATCCAAAATCACATTTACCATTTTGATACTCCACTATTTCTTTTCAAAATAATTTTTCTACTCCCAGCCCAACAATCAAAAACTGTGGTTGCTGCGATCTTTCTGGTCTCCAACGGAAAAAAGAAAGTGGGAGAGAAAAAAAAGGGGAAAACTTTTCCTTTTACCAAACAAAAGAAAGAAAGAAAGAAAGAAAGAAAGCGAAAGACTGAAAATTTTCCCTTTGGATTCCTTCACTCTTGATCTCTCTGCAGCTCCTCTCCCCCCAATTTTTTTGATTTGGGTTTTGCGAAGCCAAGCTTGAAGAATTATTTGTCTTGGTTTGAACTTCATTTGCTTACTTTGTCTGATGATTGCATTCCAAAAAAAGGTTAGTGCTTCTCTCTCTCTCTCTCTCTCTCTCTCTCTCTCTGTGTGTCTCTTTTTTTTTTTTTTTTGGATTTGTGGTGCTTGTTATCATTAGATTCGGTGGACTTGAAGGTTTGTTCAGGTTGTATTTTTGGTAGAGATTGTATGTAATCTTTGGTGGGTCTTTGGCCTCTACTGGGTTTTTTTTATTTATTTATTGTCGTTTATTGTGAAAAGACTTTCATTTATCTGTTATCTATTGGCCACAGCTAGACCATACTTAGCTTTGTTCCATCCTTTCTGTATAATAGAAAGAACATTAGATTTGAGTGACTAACTGTGATTGCATAAATCTTTAGAAGGGGGAACCCGTGATTTTCTTTTCCTTTTTTCTAATTTTTTTTTCTGGAATTTTTGGTTGTATTGTTTCTAGATGCAAACCCATAAGGGGATTTTGTGAGTGTTTGTTTGTATGTTTTTTTTTTTTATTTCAGTATTTATTTTAGAAGTGTTTTTTTTTTTTTTTTTTTAAAATTTTTTTTTTTTTTTTTTTTTTGGGTGATTTGGTAGAGTTTTTGAGCTGAGGACACTGTTTGCAAACAAAAGGAACTGTTTTGATTTGCATTTCTGCTGATTTCTGAGTGTTGGAGTGAAACCCATCTGGCTATTGTGGAGATCTGGGACTTGTTTCATCTCTTATGTACCATGAGGACTTTCTTCCCCTCAGAATCTTGTAAAGAATCACAGCTCAATGCTCTCAATCCACAGTCATGGCTCCAAGTTGAAAGAGGGAAGCTTTCCAAATTCTCATCTCAATCACCTTCTTCTATGTAAGCTCTCTTTCTCTATATTCTTTGAAAGTATTATACTTTCTCATATTCGTCATTAAATTATTGAAGGTAACGAATTTTTTTCCCTTATTGTTTGTAGAGAACCTTTTATCAAGGTCCCCGAACCACCAGTTCTTCCATTCTTTAAACCTGTTGATTATGTAGAAGTTTTAGCTCAAATTCATGAAAAACTTGAGTCGTGCCCTCCGCATGAGTGGTCAAAACTCTATTTATTGCAATATCAAGTCTTTAAGGGGCTCGGGGAAGCCAAGCTGATGCGAAGAAGCCTTCGATCAGCTTGGATGAAGGCGAGCACCATTCATGAGAGACTTATTTTCGGAGCATGGTTAAAATATGAGAAGCAAGGTGAAGAGCTCATCTCTGACCTGCTTTCGTCTTGTGGTAAATGTGCTAAGGAGTTTGGGCCAATAGACATTCCCTTTGAGCTCCCTTCTGATGTAAATTCCAGCTCCGTTGGAGTTTTTGCAATGAATGGGAATCAGATTTCAAGAACTGTCACATTTTGGATTGGAGATGAGAAAATAGAATGTGATAGGCAAAAGATTGCGGGCTTGTCAGAGCCATTTAATGCCATGCTTAATGGTTGTTTCACAGAATCGCTGTGTGAGGAAATAGATTTGTCTAAAAACAACATTTCCGCATCAGGTATGAGGGTGATTAGCGAGTTCAGCTTAACAGGTAGTTTAAATGAAGTTCCTCCAAAGCTATTGTTAGAAATCTTGGTATTTGCCAACAAATTTTGCTGCGAAAGGCTTAAGGATACTTGTGATCGGAAACTTGCTTCTTTGGTTTCCTCCAGACAAGATGCGGTGGAACTAATGGAATACGCTCTTGAAGAGAACTCCCCTGTGCTCGCTGCATCATGTTTGCAACTGTTTCTACATGAACTTCCAGATTCTCTCAATGACAACCAGGTAG